TTGAGATATGCAGGTAGGATCTGAGGATGATTTGACTAATGGTAACTGATGCAGTTAAAACTGAGCTGTTAAAATGACATGGTAATGTGTGTGTTTTGACAATGTTGTCAGATTACACACTGATGCAGAAGCAAGCACCTTTCCTAATTTGGAACATGGGAGTTTACTCCTTTATGATTGTCTATATTTGGTTGTTTTTTTTTATACCAAATTTTGGCAGCAACATGGTTCATCATCAGCCTTTATCCACCACGACAGAGGCAGAAATCCCCAACACACAAATATGGCACTTACTCTTTACAGTTTATTTTAATTCTCTTAGTGGAGATGAGGTGGAGGAATAAAGATAACCATTGTCTGAATTAGAAAAATTCATGTGCTTCTGCTCGTAAACAATACAACATATTCCCACCTAATTCTACATGTGTATATCATGGCACACCAAACAGAACAAATCAGAAGAACCATAGGAGCAAATTTTACCAAATGATCCAAACTAAGCTAGTGTGGTAAATGATACAGTTAAAACACTATTTAGGAGATCTTTCATTTCCTAAGCACTCAGGAGTCTTCAATTTGTGTTTGTGTGTGCAACTATACTAAACAAATGATTTTGGTTTTCACACTCCCAGTTGTAGCCAGAAGATTTCTCTGGTCTTGCCTGGCCCCACAATCCCACAGAAGCATATAAAATAATCATTCAGAGGCTTATATTAATTACCAATTGTATGACCTATGGCAGGCTTCTTGCTAGCTAGCTCTTATAACTTAACCCATTTCTATTAATCTATAAGTTGCCATGTGGTCATGACATTACCAGTCTGCTGGCCTCTTGCTGCTCCTTTGGTGGTGGCTGGCATCTCTTTCTTCTCTTCTTTCTTTTCTCTGTATATATATGCTTAGATTTCCCACCTGCCTCTAAGCTGCCTTGCCATAGGCCAATGCAGATTTGTATATCCACCAGTCAGATGTGGCAAGGTATAGATTTATAGAAATGGATTAATTTAAGCTGTAAAAACAGTTAGCAAGAAGCCTGCCACGGCCATACAGTTTGTAACCAATATAAGTCTCTGTGTTTACTTGGTTGGGTCTGAGCGGCTGTGGGACTGGCAGGTGAGAGAGATTTGTCCTGACCATGGGCCGGGCAGGAAAACTCTAGCTACAGAGCAACACATATTCACAGCATACAGAAAGACATCCCACAGCACTTCTCCTTTTCTGTCTAATCAAAAAGGAAGATTTTAACTTTAACATAGTAAAATTACATATAATAGAACAGTTATCAAGCAGGATTAGTTATAATATCTAGTCTATATATTTGACAAAATTTAAGAAAATATTCTAATTATCCTATATTTGTGAGCCTAGGGTTTCATATCTAATTTATCTTTTATTTTAACCAAGGAAAATAATAATTCTAACTATTTAGTCTTCAACTACATTAAAGACTCCAGAAGGATATAATATTACCTAAGTAAACAGGAAATGCATTGTAAGCAACTTCCAAAACTCTAGAATGACAGAGACAGCTGGCTGCCTGGACAGTTACCCAAAGTTCCTCTGCAACATTGGGGCATCCATCTTCAGCCTACAGGCCCAGAGTTTCTCAGTTGCTTCTCTCTGTGTCCTGCAGAATGTCTGGCAGTCTCCTCTGCAAAGCATGAACCTGAAGGACCATCTCACCTTATTTTGGCAAAATTTAGTGGTCATTTGTCCATGGGTCCTGCATGTCCAGTTGATAACAACATTTTGTCAAGCAGTCCAGGCAAGAACAGTTTCTTGCCCAAATGGCTAACTTTTGCCATAAGGAAAGCAAACTCCATATGGAGTTTCTTTGATGCCCATCTTTCTCTTTGAAGTAAATCAGTGCTGCCAGGAACAGACGTGTCTCATTGTCCAGAAAGTCTAAGTTTTTAAAACATTTTAAATGCCATATTCTGTAGGTCTTTGAAATGTTTGAAGATTACCCACCTAATTGAAATATTAACTAATTGAAAACTAATATGACTATAAGTTTGATTATCCTAGATGACTATTAATTTGTATTTCTTAATTATATATTATAATTTTAAAGGAGCTGCATAAACATAATACCTTAAACAAGAGTAGAAATATACATACAGTATAACAAAATTAACTTTAAATTTGTATCAATAAACCAAAATCCGTAGCAATGTAAAACATTTTAAACAAATTGTTGCTCTTTAAAAGTAGATTCAATAATCTACCCTTTTATCCTATCATATCTATACTATATCCTTTTCTTTTTTAGGAAGAAATTATATTTATAATTAACCCCCTTTTGTAGCTGAAGTTTTCCTGTGTCCCAGCCCATGCTTATATTATTTAAACTGTTTGGCCTAATGGCTCGGGCTTCTTGCTGTCTAGTTCTTACATCTTAAATTAACCCATTTCTATAAATCTATACCTTGCCACATGGCTCGTGGCTTACCAGTATCTTACATGTGGCTTCTCATGGCGGTGGCTGGCAGCGTCTCCTGACTCAGCCTTACTGCTCCCAGAATTCTCCTCTCTCTTTGTCCTGCCTATACTTCCTGCCTGGCTACTGGCCAATCTGTACTTTATTTATTAACCAATCAGAGCAACACATTCACAGCATACAGATATCCACAGCACTTCCCCTTTTCTTGATAGCAAAACAATTATCAAGCAAGAATTACAGTTACAATATTTAGTGTATTTATAATATCTAGTCTATTTGTATTTGGCAAAATTAAAGAAGATATCCTATCTATTCTATATTTGTGAGTCTAAGGTTTCATATCTAACTTGTCTTTTATCATAACTAAGGAAGTTATAACTATCTAGTCTTCAACTACATCAAAGACCTCAGAAGGATATAATATTACCTAAGAAATGGGAGAAGGATGCAAGCAACTTTTGGGAGTCTTGCGAGAGTAGACAGAGACAGTTGGCAGCCTAGACAGTCATCCAAAGTTCCTCTGTAAAGTTGGGGCATCTGTCTTCAGCCCACAGACCTAGAGTCTCTCAGTCACTTCTCTTTGTGTCCTGTAGAATGTCTGGCATTTTCCTCTGTGAAGCAGGAACCTGAAGGACAATTTTGCCATACAAAGTTCAGTGATCACCTTCCTATGGGTCCTTCATGTCCAGTTGATCAAGCAGTCTAGGCAAGAACAGTTTCTTGCCCAAATGGCTATTTTTGCCAAGAAAAAGATAAACTCCATATAGAGTGTCTTTGATGCCCATCTTCCTCTCTGAAGTAAATTGGTGCTGCCAGGAGCAGACATGTCTCACTGTCCAGAAAGTCTCAATTTTTAAAAACAGTTTAAATGCCATATTCTGTAGGTCTCCAAAAGGTTTGAAGATGACCTGTCTATCTAAAATATATCTGCTCGACCTTGAAAAAATACCTAATATGACTACAAGTTCAATTGTAATGTCTAACTACTAATTTTCATTTCTTTATATCCTAATAGTTGGTAATAATAACCTTCAAGGATTAGCAAATTGCATTACATTGTTAAATGAACAATGTAAGTACAATATCCTGAATAAGATTAGAAATATATGTACAGCATTTTCCAACAATATCAATCTCAATATATATAATTTGTATAAAATATACAAAAATCCAATACAATGTAAAGTATTTAAAACTAGTAATTGTCTTTTAAAAGTAGATTCAATAATTTTTCTTTTTATCTATATCATTTCTATATCTTCTCTTTACTTGTCAGAGTAGATTCAATAATCTACCCTCTATCATTTTTATATATCTTTTTTTTACAAGAACCTTAAATCTAGTCTCCTTTGCTTAGCCCTTTTCCTAACCATTAACAGCAACAACTTGTAACTGACCCTCCTAAACAATGAAAATTATCCCAAACCCAAAACCCACTGAAAGATAAAAAAACCACCCACCCCATACCACCTCTTTGGGAATGTGGGTGTCGTGTTCTTAAAATTGCTTTCTGCTGGTTATGGGTGATGGCATCTTTATTCTGAAAAGAAAATTTTGGGTTAATTGTCAAGTTCTAGGAAAGGTAGCTGTATCATTTGTTGTCCAGTCTCTGCATAATGCCAAAGTTCAGGGCTTATCTCAAGTCCTTGTTCAAGTAGTCTGTGAAACTAGATCATCTCAGCTAGCCATCTGGAAATTGTTCTGAGCAGTTTGTAGTCCAAAGCTGATCTGTGGGTGATGTTTGTCAGCTTAGTGGTATTATTATTGTCCACATGGAATTGTTGTGGGACCCCATCATCTTTCTGGAGACTTCAAATTCGATGTTAGGCCTGGTCATGATTTCCTGCAGGAAACTGATAGAGACTCACAAAAACATGTCTAGACAGCTAGTTGAAGCCTTTTTTCTAGAATTATTTAGTACTCTATATGACCATTAATATCATAGCAAAAGTTTAAAATATATATATTAATCTTATAAATTTTGATATAAAATTCATACCTTAAGAAAATTTTAAAGATTCAAAATGGATTCAAAGAATTGAGATAAGTAGCAATAGAATAGTCCCTTAATTTTTTTTTTGTTTTCTCCTGTCCCATATTAGAAGATGGCTCTTTCTTCTGGCATGATACAGAGAGTTTGCATTTTTCTTTTAACAACATGCTTGGGTTTAAAGAAGGAGAGATCCAGCTGGGATCTCCCGCTCCCCCAAGCTCTCTTTCCCTCGACCCTCGCCTTTCATTACCCCCACTCATGTCCAGGCTGTTCATGTAGATCTCATTCCATTTCTCTGTCATTGGGCGATCCCTGTGTCTTTCTTGGGGTCCTGTTTTCCGGGTAGCCTCCCTGGTGATGTGAGTAGCAGACAATTCATCCTTGTTTCATGTCTAGTATCCTGCTATGAGTGAGTACATACCATGTTTGTCTTTCTGAGTCTGGGTTACCTCACTCAGGATGATTTTTTCTAGATCCATCCATTTGTCTGCAAACCTCATGATGCCATTGTTTTTTTCTGCTGAGTAGTATTCCATTGTGTATATGTACCACATTTTGTTTATCCATTCTTCAGTTGAAGGGCATCTGGGTTGTTTCCATGTTCTGGCTATTACAAACAATGCTGATATGAACATAGCTGAACAAGTGCTCTTATGGTGTGGTTGAGCATTTCTTGGGTATATGCCCAAGAGTGGTATAGCTGGATCTTGGGGGAGATTGATTCCCAATTTTCTAAGAAAGCGCCATATTGATTTCCAAAGTGGTTGTACAAGCTTGCATTCCCACCAGCAGTGGAGGAGAGTTCCTCTAGCTCCACATCCTCTCCAGCATAAGGTGTCTTCAGTGTTTTTGATCTTAGCCATTCTGACAGGCGTAAGGTGGTATCTCAGAGTTGTTTTGATTTGCATTTCCCTGATGATTAGGGATGATGAGCAATTCCTTAAATGTCTTTCGGCCATTTGAGTTTCCTCTGTTGAGAATTCTCTGTTTAGTTCTATAGCCCATTTCTTAATTGGACTGTTGGGCATTTTGATGTCTAATTTCTTGAGTTCCTTATATATTCTGGATATCAGTCCTCTGTCAGATGTGGGGTTGGTGAAGATCTTTTCCCATTCTGTAGGCTGTCGCTTTGCCTTGTTGACCGTATCCTTTGCTCTACAAAAGCTTCTCAGTTTCAAAAGGTCCCATTGATTGATTATTTCTCTACAGAGAGGGAGAACAAGGAATAGGAGACCATGGTAAATGAAGACCACATGAGAACAGGAAGAAGCAAAGTGCTAGAGAGGCCCACAGAAATCCACAAAGATACCCACACAACAGACTGCCGGCAATGGTCGAGAGACAGCCCGAACTGACCTACTCTGGTGATGGGATGGCCAAACACCCTAATTGTTGTGCTAGAAACCTCATCCAACTACTGAGGGATCTGGATGCAGAGATCCATGACTAGGCCCTGGGTGGATCTCTGGGAGTCCAATTAGCGAGAATGAGGAGGGTTTATATGAGCGAGAATTGTTGAGACCAAGGTTGGATAAAGCACAGGGACAAATAGCCAAATGAATGGAAACACATGAACTATGAACCAATGGCTGAGGGGTCCACACTGGATCAGGCCCTCCGAATGGGTGAGACAGTTGATTGGCTTGATCTGTTTGGGAGGCATCCAGGCAGTGGGACCAGATCTTGTGCTCATTGCATGAGTTGGCTGTTTGAAACCTGGGGCCTATGCAGGATTGTTTGGCTTGGCCTGGGAGGAGGGGACTAGACCTACCTGGACTGAGTCTACCAGGTTGACCTCAGTCTATGGGGAAGGCTTTGCCCTGGAGGAGATGGGAATGGGGGGGGGCGTTGGGGGGAAGGTGAGGGGGACGGGAGGGGGGAGAACAAGGAAATCCGTGACCGATATGTAGAACTGAATTGTATTGCAAAATAAATTAAAATAAATTAAAAAAAAATAAAAAAAAAATAAATAAAAAAAAAAAAACTACACAGAGGGAAAAAAAAAAAATAAAGAAGGAGAGAGTCATTCTCCAACTCCAAAGCCAGTTTTAATTTTTAATTGTACTGGGACTACAAGAAGACCATTTGTGTTAAGTGTCTTTAGAGAAGAGCAGAAATAAACATTTAGGAAGACTTATGAAATTTTATATGTGATATACCAATAGGCCAATTTACTCCTTTTCTGGGGACATTTTTTCTAGATGATTTGTCATTTTTCTTCAGATGTTTCAATCTGTCCAGTGTTCTTCAGATTCCTTAGCCTTCATTCTCCTAAAAGACAAAAACAAAAACCTTTCCCCAAGATTAACTTTGGGGAGGTTCCCTATTGGCAAGTTATATCTGATTAAATGAAAATGCATGTGTTAATGGTATAAATTAGTTTAAATTGAATGGTCATGCTGGTTGATGAACTATTACCTCTTCTAATTAAGAGGTCTCTCGTTCAAATTGAACCTTTATCCATTTTGATGGTATCCACAGCTTATCTTCTTCTGTAGAAACAAAAGCAAAACCTCGTCCCCAACATAACACATCTCCTGGTTTCCATTTTGAGGTCAGCACATCCTTAAAGTATATAGGCTGATTTAATTCTGTAGTTTTTTCTATTATTCAATGTCTCTCTGCAGCTGTTGTTCCTTTCTCACTAGCATTGAGAAAATTCAAAGTTAATAGAGCATTATGTAATCTATTTCTGGGAGTTTTTGTTACCCCTTTCTGTTTATTTAGCATGTCCTTTAGAGTTCTGTTTGATCTTTCTATAACTGCTCGGCTGGTAGGATTGTGTAGTGTTGCCTGTAATATGCTTTATATTGTAATGAGCAAAAAAATGTTTCATTTTACAAGAAACATATGCTGGAGCATTGTCAGTTATAATTTGTGCAAGTATATCCATGATGGCCATAACTTCTAGTAAATGTGTGACTACAGAATCAGCTTTTTCAGAACTCAAAGCAGTTGCCCATTAAAATCCTGAATAAGTATCAATGGTATGGTGTACATATTTCAATTTTCCAAATTAAAAAAATAAATGAAAATAAGCAATATTTTGGGAATTTGAGTGCAGCTTCTTATACTACTTCCTGGTAATTGGGGGGCACTGGCATTCTTATGGGGATCCTGAGAAAATTAAGAATTGTAGTTAAATCATGGCTGTAGTAGTCTGTGAGGCTGTATCAACCTTTCAGGGGATTTTGGTTGATCAAACCATATTAGCCTAGAAGCAATCCATAGGTTCTCATCTTCTGTGGAAACAAAAGCAGAACCTCTTTTCCAAGGCAACATATCCTTAGACACATATTTTGAAGTCAAGATAGCTTTCAAATGTCCACACTGGTTTAACTGAGTAGCCTTTACAATCAAATGTCTCTCTGCAGTTAAAAATTCCAAAGACAATATAATCCAGACTCTGTGTGTGATTTCCATCTTTATGTGGCTTATTTTTATATTACTTTTACTGTCTCTTTAAAGACTGTATTTTTAAAAACTATCTATTTCTTTATATAACTGCATATATTCCTATTTCTTTATATAACTGCATATATTCTTTTTTCTCTCTCTTCCAAGTCTACCTACATTTTTACACACATTGTAAACAGTTTAGAGTTTTATTCCATCTGAATCTGTCTTATTGTGAATCTATAATCCTTCTCTGACCAGGAGAGATTTTAAACTGTTAAACTGCATGGCTAGGATGAAAAGTGGCCTTGGCTGCTGACTCCACCCACTGCAGCTTCTCAACATGGCAGAGGTACCTTTATCATCAGCTCTGGGGGAGTCATACTCTCTGCTGACTCTGGGAGGCAGTAGGTCTATGCCTCTATCAAGAAATGTGTAGCCCAGAAACCTTTTTTTCAAATTTTTTTTTTTTAACTAGCAAAAGCTAAATCCACTATACAGAGTGCTGCACAGCTTGGAGAAACCTCTGTGTAACTTGGTGGGAATTCTCCATGCTGTAGCTCAAGCCCACATGCTGTGAACCCACCATAGTGTAGCTCATGGCTTGCCTGAGAGACACATTTAGGAAGCTGCTTTTAGCTCTGTTTTAGAAATTTTTAAAAAGCTTTCTTAGGATTTTGGAGGAAATTCTTGCTACCATGTCTGGGTGCCAATTAGAGCTGGAAGATTTCTCCAGTTCCACTTGGCCCCATGGTCCCACAGCTGCTTATAAAATAATAATTGAGAGGCTTATATTAATTACCAATTGTATGACCTATGGCAGGCTTCTTGCTTGCTAGCTCTTGTAACTTAACCCATTTCTATTAATTTATAAATTGCCATGTGGTCGTGGCATTACCAGTCTGCTGGCCTCTTGCTGCTCCTTTGGTGGCAGCTGGCATCTCTCTCTCCTTTCCTTTCTTTTCTCCATATATATGCTTAGATTTCCCACCTGCCTCTAAGTTGCCTTGCCATAGGCCAATGCAGCTTTATTTATCCACCAATTAGAGCAACACATATTCACAGCATACAGAAAGACATCCCACATCACCCAGTTGTGTATAGAGGAGGTCTAAGTTTTAGAATAAGAAAGAAGAATTAAAATTTATAGAAAATTATCCTTAAATTGAACATTTAAGTAATGATGGGATTACAATGACCATATATTGATCAATGTGTACAATCTCGTGCTCAATAACTTTATGAAATCTAAAGAAGTTGTACTGGCTGGTTTTGTGTGCAAACTTGTTACAAGCTAGAGTCATCAGAGGAAGGAACCTCAGCTGAGGAAATGCCTCCATGAGATCCAGCTGTAAGGCATTTTCTTATTTAGTGATCAATGGGGGAAGGCCCAGCCCATAGTGTGTGGTGCCATCCCTAGGCTGCTAGTTCTGGGTTCTATAAGAAGTTCAGCTGAGCAAGCCATGGGAAGCAAGCCAGGATGCAGCTCCCCTCCAAGGCTTCTGCATCAGCTCCTGCTTCCAGGATCCTGCCCTGTCTTGAGTTCCTGTCCTGACTTCCTTCAGTGGTGAACAGCAATGCTGAAGTGTAAGTCTAATAAACCCTTTCCTCCCCAGCTTGCTTTTTGGTCATGGTTAAGTAACTTAGCCAAGGTCACACAACTTTCATGAAATACAGTCAACATTCCAGCCAGTTTGATTCCAGGGCTGTAACTAATGATTGTGTAAACTGGGCCTCTCCTTTAAGAGTTTGTTTTTCTATTAAGTTGTTTTGTTTATAAAAGAGACAGATACACTGTTTCCTAATCTATCACTCATTTGGACCGCTTAAAATTGAGGTGTATTATTTAATTTCCCCCCTATTTATGTAAATTCTGTGTTCTGAGGTTACTGATAACAACACCAAGTGCCCTCATGACACTGGGGAAATCTGCCTACATTCCAGGGATGACGCTTTCATCTGATACACCAGAATTTGTCCTCACCCTGACTTTATTATTAGCAGGTTCAAAGGCCTATGCCTGGTGAGAAGAGCTTGCCCACACCCCAGGCACTGGGCCTGCTGGGCTGGACTGCCTTCTGTTTCTGATAAGCTGTTTTAGGTCTGCAGCAGTTCTTGGGAATTCTGTCAGCACAGGCCGGGTGAGGTCACTCTATCTCCTGATGAATTTTCTTTTTCTGTATTTTGGGGCTGTCCTGATGAACATGACCCTGGAGTGTTTAGTAATACCTCTGGTCCCTTAGGAATTAATGGTGTAGTCCGTGGCTTTATTTCTCTCTGCACAAAGGTTCCATACCTCTGGAAAGGAAAACAAAGATGACATTATCCACAGAAGCATGAACTGTAGCTGAGTGTGTGGGTTAGTTCAAGTCCTGATGATGAAGGAACTTATTTGTCTGCCTTTCCATTGACTGTCACTTGAGTCCAAAACTAAAGATGCCACCAGAAGTTTTGGTGAGCCTTGTAAACAGAGAGAAAATAAATGAGAGCAGAGAAGTAAAAAGCAGACAGTCAAGGAAGCATCTGTGCTTTCCTATCACTGGAGTGTACACAACTATTTGTATCAAATTTTATTTTTTGCTTTGTAGGTTGCTATGACTGCAAATAAAACTACAATTTGTAGAATTGATGATTGTGTCCAAATGTCTGAAAGGATTACTTACAATGAACTATGAAAACAAACATCTGTATAGTTGAAAACATTCTAGCAACTACTATTGAATTCTGTTCTGTATATAAGAACATCTAAAATTTTACCAATATTGCTTTAAGCTAGTGCTCTCAATATATAAACAAAAACCCCTTTGGTTCAAAATCACAATACCGTCCTTGGTTTTTATATGACTTGTAGCTTCGACTAACCTACTGATGACTACCTTTGCTTAGATAAACTTTTAGAAAGACAAGTATGACTTAAAAGGCTTACAAGTTCTCCCATAAGTTTACTCAGTCCTACAGTATTAAGTAATTAGTTCTAAACACTGCCTCACCTTTCCCCGGATGGGCTCATTGGGAGTTTTCCTGGAATCATATTGATGTATAAAGGAGATGTATTCTACAAAATTTTTTTCATGTTCTGCTGATGAACTCAGACAGGTAAGTGGAACTAGGAAAAATGAGAGATATTTCAGTGAAATCAGTACAATAACTAGAGTTGTGTATGGAAATATAAATATTGTAATATTTATGCTTTATGAAACTATCAAAAAATGCCAGGCATGGTGGTAGACTCCTTCATGTCCTGATGCTTAGGAGGCAAAGGACAGCCTGCTGTACATAGTGAGTTCCAGGGCTGCAAGATAAGACCGTTTCTCAATTAAAAAAAGTCAACAGAAATTCCTTAAGTAAGTTACCTACCCATATTTCAATATTATGGATTCAGAATTTATTTTGCATGAAAAGATCTAAATCAAAACAAATTAGTTCCACACATGGAATTGATAAATTAAAAATATTTTTATTATATGTGTCTGAGTATTTTGCCTGCATATATGTATATGCACATGTGTGTCTGATACTTTCAAAGGCTGGAAGAGGGGGTCAAATCCCCTAGGACTGGAGTTACAGAAGGTTGTGGGCCACTATGTGGTGCTGAGAATAAAACCCAGGTCATCTAGAAGAGCAGCCAGTGCTTTTAACCACTAAGCCATTTCTTCAGCTCTTATTAGATATGCTTTTAAATAGAAACCAATATGCCTTAGTGAAAACATAAGTTGTTTGTCAAATTATTTTTGACAACTAGAAAGGGTATGAAAAGATTTCTGCTGGATATGTGGCCATGGCTGAGTGATTATGATGATGGCCAAAGACTTCTGTGCTGATGTCACTGGGACACCCAGGATGGCTGGCATTGCTGAACACAAATTCTTTACACTTCAATCCGATACCAGAGGTTCCACTCATTTGCAATGTCCACCTGCTGCTAACAATCAAAGAGTTGAATGAATTCTGTCAAAGAAAATACTTTTGATTCTCCTTTTAACAAATATAGACATGGATGTAATAATTTGCATATCCTTGACATATCTCTGGAATAATGTATAAGAAATTGATTCTGATAGTTCCTATAGGGGAGAGAATTTTGTGACTGAGGAAAGGTAGAGAGAGGTAAATTAAATTTTGATTATATATTTTATATTTTTCTAGCATTCAAATTATGTACCATATATATAATTATATATAATACCATATATATATATATATATAATTTCTAGGACTCATACCTTTATGCTGAAAGTGGTGGTATAAGCTTTAATCGCAACACTCAGACAGGAGGAGTGCCACAAGTTTGATGCCAGCCTGTGCTATAGAATGAGTTCAAGACTAAGCCTGGGATACACAGTGAGACTCTGTCTCAAACAAAGCAGAACAAAATAAAATAACATATGGCTTTCCCCAGTGTGACAGATTGTTGCTTGACATGATAGTGAACACCTTTACTGTGAGCACTCAGGAGGTAGAGGCAGGTGTAGCTCAGTCAGTATGAGGCTAGCCTGGTCTATATGGCAAATTTCAGGTCAGCAAAGGTGATATAATGAGACCCCGTCAAAAACAAGCAAAAGAACATGTTCTAATTTGGAGAAATAGGTAAGTATGGAAAATACATTAATAAATGATACTTATTAACATTTATGAATTCTATTTGATATTCAGATATTGACATAAAATACTTTTTCTAGTAAGAATGATGAATATTCAAGTACTTATAAAACTAGCAGATTTTATCCCCACATTTGACTTTCGAGTCTTTGTTGGTAAATAGAACTATAGAGGCTTACTTTAAACCTACATATCTCAGTTATAGAAGAGCTGGGGCCTTAGACCAGAAGTATCTCCAGGTCACAGCCTGAGTGGTGAGCAGGGCACTGACTTTGGGCCTGTGGGGAGTGAATGGTAATTAAAATATCAGTAGATTCATGTGTAGCCGCTAAGGTAACAGAAACACATTAGTAGGCTGCCGTTTTGTCCTTTTGAGAATGTCCTTTGCCTTACAGAAGCTTTTCAGTTTCATAAGGGCCCATTTATTAATTGTTGATCTTAGTGCCTGCACAATTGATGTTCCATTCAGGAGGTTGTCTCCTGTGCCAATGCATTCAAGGCTATTCCCCACTTTCTTTTCTGTCAGATTCAGTGTATCTGGTTAATATATATGTTGAGGCCTTTGAGCCCCTTGGTCTTGAATTTTGTGCAGGATGATAGATATAGATCTATTTGCATTCTTCTACATGCCGACATCTAGTTAGACTAACACCATTTTTTGAAGATGCTTTCTTTTTTTCCCATTGTATATTTCTGGCTTTTTTTAAAATAAAAAATCAGGTGTCCATAGGTATGTTGATTTATGTCTGGGTCTTCAGTTTGGTTCCATTGATCAACCTGTCTGTTTTTTATGCTAATACCATGCTGTTTTTATTACTATGGCTGTGTAGTATAGATTGAAATCAGGGATGGTGATACTTCCAGAAGCTCTTTTATTGTACAGGATTGTTTTAGCTATCCTGTTTTTTTCTTTTCCATATGAAACTGAGTATTGTCCTTTCAAGGTCTGTAAAGAATTATGTTGGAATTTTGATGGGAATTGCATTGAATCTATAGATTACTTTTGGTAATACGGTCATTTTTACCAGTTAATCCTACCAATCCATGAGGATGGGAGATCTTTCCATCTTCTGATATCTTCATCAAAGACTTAAAGTTCTTGCCATATAGGTCTTTCCTGGTAAGAGTTACACCAAGGTATTTTATACTATTTGTGGATATTGTAAAGGGTGACGTTTTTCTGATTTCTTTTTCAGCCTGTTTATCATATAGAAGGGCTACTGGTTTTTTTTTTTTTTAGTTAATCTTATATCCAGCTACTTCACTAAAGGTGTTTATCAGCTGTAGGAGTTCCCTGGTAGAGTTTTTTGGGTCACATGTATACTATCATATCATCTTCAAATATCAATACTTCTTCCTTTCCAATTTGTATCCCCTTGATCTCCTTTAGTTGTCTTATTGCTCTAGCTAGAACTTTGGGTACTATATTGAATACTGAATAGAGATAGAGAGAGTGGACAGTCTTTTTCCTGATTTTAGTGGAATTGCTTTGAGTTTCTCTTCATTTAATTTGATGTTGGCTATTGGCTTGCTGTATACTGCCTTTAATTTGTGTAGGTAGGATCCTAATCCTATGTTTAGGCTGTAACCCTGATCTCTCCAACACTTTTATCATGGTGGGATGTTCGATTTTGTCAAAGGCCTTTTCAGTATCTAATGAGATGATCATATGGATCCTTTCTTTCAGTTTGTTTATATGGTGGATTACATTCACAGATATTTGTATGTTGAACAATCCCTGCATCTCTGGGATGAAGCCTATTTGGTCATGGTGGATGATCTTTCTGATGTGTTCTTAGATTCAGTTTGTGGGTATTTTATTGGGTATTTTTGCATCAATGTTCATGAGTGAAATTGGTCTGTAATTCTCTTTCTTTGTTGGGTCTTTGCATGGTTTGGGAATCAGGGTGACAGTGGCTTCATAAAATGAATTTGGCAATGTTCCTTCTGGTTCTATTTTATGGAATAATTTGAGGGGTATTGGTATTAGCTCTTCTTTGAAAGTCTGGTAGAGTTCTATGCTAAAACCATCTGACTCTGAGCTTTTTTTTTTCTTGATTGGGAGATTTTGAATGACTGCTTCTATTTCCTTAGGGGTTATAGGTCTATTTAAATTGTTTATCTGATCTTGACTAAATTTTTGTAGCTGGTATATATGAAGAAATTGCCCATTTCTTTTGGATTTTCCAATTTTGTGACATACAAGTTTTGGAAGTATGAACTAATGATTCTCTGAATTTCCTTATTTTCTGTTGTCCTGTCTCCCTTTTCATTTTGTATTTTGTCAATTTATATATTTTATCTCTGCCTTTTAGTTAGTTTGGATAAGGGTTTGTCTATCTTGTTGATTTTCTCAAAGAACCAACCTTTTTAATCCCACATTTTTCAAGGATGCATTCAAATAAAAATATAAATAAATCAAGGAGAATGCCATATATATATGGCATTTCAGGGTATATATATATATATATATATATATATATATATATATATATATATATCCTGAAAAGACAAGATCTAAAGAATGGAAAAATAAGTATTATTCCTATGAAAAGTCAGAACATATTGTCAGTAAAAATGGTCAGGCCTTGTGATTAGCTGGGATCAATACAATGTGGCAGAAGGGACACAATGCAAGCTCCTAGCACACACCTCAAGGAGGCTTTGCAGCTTCTGCTTTTTGTATTCTGGGAAACTTGAGTTGCTGAATAAGAAGTCCAGCCACTTTGATAGGCAAACTACCTAAAGAGACCACAGGAGGAGAGGACCAGACATCCTAGGGTGCCTGCCTCTGAACAGAACACTGACACACAACCCAGGTCCAGATTGTAGAACACTGAGCAAATAAGATGTGTGTTCTTTTAAGCAATTAAATTAAGGTAGCTTGTTATGAAGATACTGAAATAGAAATGCATCAGAAGAATTAATTAGAATGAATTACCTGGTGTCCTACTTTGCTTTCTATTGCTATAATAAAGACCCTGACCAAAAACAACTTGGGGAAGAAAGGGTTTGTTTGGCTTACATGTCCTGATCATTGTCCATCATGAAGAGAAGCCAAGGCAGGAAATCAAGCTGGTCAGCAACTGAAGCAGAGACCATGGAGGAAGACTGCTTACTGACTTGTTTTTCATAGCATGCTTAGCCTGTGTTCTTATACAACCCAATACCACCTGCCCAGGGGTGGCACTGCCCACAATTGACTGTGCTGTGTAGAGATATTTTATTTGTGCTGAAATGTGGTGATATTTTATTTGTATGTTAATAAAGTTTGCCTGGAGATCAGAGGAAATAGCAAGCCATTAACATAAAAGTCAGGCAGTGGTAGCACATGCCCTTAATCTGATCACATGGCAGGCAGGGTCTCTGTGTGTTCAACAACACGCTAGGGAATAGCCAAGAGTGGTAACACATGCCTTTAATCCCAGTACCAACCATAGAGACCTGGAGGTTTGTACAGACAGGCAATGACAAGGAAGTGAGGTAGCTGGGCCGAGAGAGCAGAAC